CATTTAGTTAGACATGTGTACTATTAATTAGATTTATGGAGACCTGCACGTGTCTAAATAACCATAATGCACAGTTTGATACATGCTCTGTCATGAGTTATCAATACTTAATTAAGGGCTATGTTTTTTTAAACTTAACATGACTGAGGTCAAATTCTGATCTGTATGGACACTTGTCATTTCTGAAGGATACCAGGAATCATTGGATAATCTTTGTTTTTCTGATGAATTGCAGTGTTTTGAGGCTAACAAGTTGGTAATTTTATTTCATCAAAGATTGGACATGCTGTGGAAGGGGGCATGGTGTCACCTGAAAGCTATCAGTTTAAATGTGCTAATAGTGAACTTACAAATTAGTTGCTGTTTTCCTACAAGAGAAAACAAAGGTAAACACATAAAGACTCAAAGTAATTTAATAAGTTTTGTAAAATCATCCAGATGGTCTAGAGGAATTAACAGACACAAAAGCTTGAAAGCACAAGGTATTTTGCATCAATTTTATGTAATGCATTGTTACTATTATGAGTGACTTGTTTGATTTATTTGCTTGCATTTGCATGGATTTGTTTAAATTCGTAGATCAATATTCTTGATGTGGTATAGTTGTGTTGAGTTCATTTATCTGAGTCCTCACAATAATATTTGTCTTTATATATACATTAACGGCTCGCTTAAGTTATAGTCTCAATTATTCCAAGAAGTTATGTATGCATAATTTCAAGGTTATTCTATATAGAAAATTATGTATCTGGAATAGTTGAGTTCATTTATTAGAATTTGTACAATATTTTTTATTTATATACATTGACAAATTGTTGGAATGTAGAAATTATGAGAATCTAAGATAATTCTCTGACCTGCTGAAGTCACTTATGATAATGACTTTATTGTTTCTATTTGTTAAATACCATAGTGTAAGGAATTTCATTCTTGGTGTGGTGTTAAATGCAATTAGTGGAACCAATTATTTTGTGGAACTAGGTTTGTATGGTCTGTCATGACCAATTAGACCAGATAGCCATGGTATGTTTGTATATGATAAAATTTTATCTGAGATGACTGGGGAAAAGGGAGTGGGAGGGGTATTAATCTAGTCCCTCAGTGTGGTTTTGTATATATTTTTACAAGGTGAGATAGCTTATGGCTTCATAAATCATACTAAACTGGACATGACATGAAGTCTCATGTATTACAAACCCAAAACAGCTAAACAAAGTTGGAAAGGCTGAACAGGCAAATCCTAGAGAATTTGGAAAAAGGATGGGAAACGTGAAGATCCAGACTTACCAGCAAAAGGAAGTCAGTTGATGTGGACTTTGCAACAAGATATGACATCAGGTCATGAATCGATACAAGGCCGTGTTTTTCGATCTTTCACTCTATCTAATGATGAATTAATTCCATCGGATAACAGGTCGGCTATTGATATAATTTTATTTGTATATTGAAATTCTTTGATAAGTTGATCAAAAAAATGAAATGAATCTTTCAAATTGTAATGTTTATCACACTTGTTTGTGAATTTTAATGTTATAAATTTTGAATAAATTTTGTCTTAATTTGTAATAGGGGCTTGTGTTATTCTGTTCTATATAACTGCTCAGATCTTTATTTATTCCACCCATGTCATATTTTATATTGACATTTACTCTTTTTGTGTAAATTACACCATCAGTGATCACCTCAAGATAACGATAACCAAAACCAAGTAACCCAACACAAGAAAGCTGAGGAATGATATGCAGCAATCTGGTATTCTACATATTATCATGACAAAAAAAAACCAAGGTTTCCCTGCTGTTTGGTCCGACATGCATTTTCCTAAAGCAGTCAAAGCAGGGGTGACATAAAGAAGTTGAAAAAGAAATTGACGTATTGGAGATTTGCATGTTTACAAGTCACAGCATGAGATGGTAATCTCAAAGGAATTAATGTTGGAAGTAACTCTGGCAACCATCTTTAAATAAACAAGTCTCTGGGACAATAGTACAGAAACCAATCTTGTAAAGACAGTGAGAGCACTGTTGCACTCAATTCTAAGACTGTAACAATGATATAAAAAAGATCACTTCCATGATATTGATCATGATGATTGAGAGCTCTGGACCAATCAAATGATCACAGATTGTAACAATGATCTTAATAAGATCACTTCTTTGATATTTATCATGACAAGGCATAGAATGGACCCAAGTTTTGGCATGTTTCTAAATGGACCATTTTTGGCAAAAACACATGTGCATGCATGTGTGCTTGCAAGAGTTACTGGCCTTCATTTATGACCTTATCAATTATTAATTAACATCATGCAGGTCCTAAAACTTCATTCACAGACAGGAAAACTATATTGCCGATTAGTATGAGCCATTTATATACATTTTTTAAATAAGTAAAATAAGTAACTGAAAAGACAAAAGCTCTACATTTCTTATAGTAGATCCAAGCACCTGTATACACTAGATTTGTATACTTTAACAGTCAAGAGAAATATCTTGATTATGGCAGTGAACTGAAATCAAAATAGATTTTGTTCAGCGAGCTATGTACTTTCTGGAATAAGTGGCCTAGGAATCAAATTCAAACTCTTTGCAATTATCATTTTAAGACTATTTTGCATTCTGCTTGTCTGGTCAAATTCTCAGATAACAATGTAGTTTGTGATAAGATAAGGTCTCTTACAAATTGCAGACATTAATGTAACATCTAATGTATGGTCAGCATTCAAATGGAATAACTGAAGTAGACAATAATGTCCTAATGTAGAAAGATTATATATTTAATCAATTTTATACAAATAGATAATGCAGTTTTAAAAAGAATGATGATTTGCTTTATCTATGAATTCGATTTTTCCCCAATTTTGAATATTGTACTTACTCATGATCAGCAAAGAATATATGCTGGCCAGACATGTTTCTGGATTTTTCAAGCAACTGTTATGTACACATGTATTAGGCTTTGACAGCACATCAGCAAAGAAAGGGCAATATGGTGCCGATTAAAAGTAAAATTTACCAAATGAGTTTCAATGTTTATAGATTTCATCAAAATTGTTCAAAAAAGTTTAATTAAAAAGATGATAAGTAATTTTTTTATTAATATAATTAATAATGATGACATGTGATTTCCAAGATGTCATTTACTTAATGTTCAATGTTAGGTTTATTGACAAACAGCTTTTATTAAAAAGCTCCATATCCTAATATTCTGCAAATAATATTTGTTATTATTACCATATATACTCACTTAAAAGCCAAGTAAAAATGCAAAGATCCTGATTGGCCACAGCCTAATGTGCTGACAGATCTGGGTCTGTGCAGTTTGATAGGAGTATTCAGTAGAACAAACAACACATACCCTGCATTATACAAAGGCAGATCAGTGTCACTTGACCTATAAACAAGCATTATAGAGCACTCTTTTCTATGTTGGTATCACTAATTGTTTCATGTACAGACCTACCTGTACACTGCCATAAGAGAAACTGTGGCTGGGGACACTGTAGTATAAGTGAATAACTGAATAATTAGCATCTGGATAATCCAAGTTTTATTGTACTTGTGTCAGTTCTATCAGTTTTGTTGAAAAGGGTTTTAAACCATCAAAAGAATTTTCTTGAATTTTTAATATAAGTACCATATGTATTAACTTATAAGTTGAGTGAAATTCAAACCACAAAGATCCTGATCTGCCATTGCATATTGCACCTCCAGATCAAGGTCTCTGCTGTTTGTTCTACTGATTAATCCCAACAAACTGCACAGCCCCAGACCTTCACATGCATGTTGAGATGGAAGGTCTGGGTAGTCTGTAGTTGGACTTAACTTCTAAGTGAGTAACATGGTATGTATATTTAACATAATTTTAAGGATGTTTAGCTTTTAAATACTGCTGACCTCTAGTGAAAATAACATTTAAAAAACTCCATTCTTATTGATGTAATTTAGATTCAACTCTGGATCATTGTTGTATTAATTTCTTTTTTCAACGGATCATAGTCATTATTGTCTTGTGATGCCAAAAAACTATTTCCAAGATATCTGTTTAAACTTCTTTGCTTTTTTACTTCTGTAAATATCTATGGACTGATTTGTAATAAAGTTATCATTTTATTATTATTATTATTATTATTATTATTATTATTATTATTATTATTATTATTATTATTATTATTATTATTATTATTATTATTATTATTTCAGAAATATGTTATGACAGATGTTCAGAGATGGCTTTAGAAGGTTTCCACCTAGAGACTGACAGTTTGACAGATATTGTTTATATTGGAAGCCTGGAGTGTTGTATATGCACTACAAAATTCTCAGTTTTATCTGTACCTCCCATTGTCTTTCATTAGCATTGTTTACTAATCATATACTGGAATGTGGTTTACAGCAATTACCATATCTACCAAACTATTTGCAAGAATTTGGTTTATATAATTACTATATCTACCCAACTATTTGAAACAATGTGGATGACAGTAATTACCATATCTACCCAACTATTTGCAACAACTTGGTTTATCAAAATTATTATATCTACCCAACTATTTGTAACAATTTGCTTTATCATAATTACTATATCTACCCAACTATTTGAACCATGGTTTACAGTAATTACCATATCTACCCAAATATTTTCAATAATGTGGTTTATAATAATTACCATATCTACCCAATTATTTCCAACAATCATAAGATTTAGAAACTAGGAGGTCATGATCCTCATGTCAAGCCATAGTCATAGTATTGTTAAAGAACTTTAACCAAAACATCTTGACTGTTGAAGCTATATTTGGGATATGGCTAAAGTGATTGTTGTCTTCTCACTGTCTTCTCACTTTCCCAATAATGTGGACATAACAAATATTTACAAACATGTAGCATGATGTCCCACCCAGTCACATTATCCTGACACCAGGCTGATCAGTCCTAACACTAACTTCTTAATGCTGGGCGCCAAGCAAGGAAGCTGTTAGTACCATTTTTGTAAGACTTTGTTATGACTCGACCGTGAATCGAACAAACGACCTCCCGCATCCAAGGCGGATGCTCTAACCACTAGGACACCAGAGCAGTTAGGCAGTTTATAGTAATGTTTACCACTGGAGCATCATGCTTCAGACATGTAGCATCATGTCCCACCCAGTCACATTATCCTGACACCAAGCCGACCAGTTATAACACTAACATCTTAAAGCCAAGTACCAATGGATTTGCAGGTGACATTTAATCTAAGTGACAATTAAAAGAATAAATCACTGTATTTGTGTAAGTAAAATGAACACCTAGCTATGACCTAGATCTGCATTCATAGGATGCAATAGCAGATCTGGGTAGTCTGCACTGCATGTAATTCTTAATATCTTCTACTTTTTGTATAACATTGATTCATAATTTTTTAAAATATTTTTATCTATTAATATTAATTTTTTTTTCAAATTCTTTATCTTTCTTTTAAACTGTAATCAAAATTTAGATACGAAAGAAAATTACATTCAACAGTTTTACCTATCATTACTTTTACACCTAACTTTTGAACAAAAACAAGAGCATGAAAATTACTGACAATAAAATGTCCAGTTTGGTGCTGTTATACTTTAGTAAATACTAAATTAATTTGAAGGACATCAATCTTTTAGTTTGCTATCATGAATCATTTACCAGTCATGCAAATGTTTACCAGTCATGTAACATTTACCAGTCATGCAACATTTACCAGTCATGCAAACATTTACCAGTCATGTAACATTTACCAGTCATGCAAACATTTACCAGTCATGCAAACATTTACCAGTCATGCAACATTTACCAGTCATGCAAACATTTACCAGTCATGCAACATTTACCAGTCATGCAAACATTTACCAGTCATGTAACATTTACCAATCATGCAAACATTTACCAGTTGTGTAAACATTAACCAGTCATGCAAACATTTACCAGTCATAAACATCTTGTTAATAATTTTTTTTTTTATAAAAAATATGCATGTTCTCAGAGGAGGCCCTAAAATTATGCACAGCAGACCCTAAAATAATCCTCATTACAGACCCTAAAAATCCTCACAGCAGATCCTAAGAAGTTTAAATCTAAAAACTTTAAAAATAAGAAAAATACGAAAAATTCTGCTAATGGTATAAAAATCTACCTTAAGTATTTTTTTCTTAATCATTCAAAATGTTTTAAAACAAGTGAAAAAAAGTTGAAAACTTGTGTTAAAGTCATGACTTACAAATCTAATCTTGTCATCTACTTATGGCCAAAATACTGTCATGTCAAATTTAACAGCTCTAAAAAAAAAGTTTTGGTGCTATTGCACTCAAATTTTGTATGCACGAGGATGTACAGGTGTGCAGCAGCAAGATGCCCTCCCGATGCAGATGGACACTGCACTGAGAAAGAAAACTGGCCAAACAATATTCCATATATACTTATGTACAAGTTGCATCCATTTGCAAACTGCGAAGACCTTGATCTGCCATTGCATAATATGCAGACATTTTCCTCAAAGCAGTTTATTAGGATTAGTTTACTGAGCAAACAACAAAGCCATTGATCTGCCTTCACATTATGCGATGGCAGATCAGGGTTTGTGCTGTTTGCAGTTGGACTCAACTTAAAAGTCAGTATATATGGCATTAAATTTCCACCTCAAATGAGATTGATATCTGGGTACAGCTTTTGACAAAACATTCACTGCATTTTAAAGAATTAATATAGTCCAGTTATTATGCAAAAAATGAAACTTCAGACAGTTTTGCCCCTAATTTATATCAGCATATAAGGTAAAAAAAAATTGTGGCATGACAAGAATTCCCATTAAACAAAACCTGAATTAGCTTTATCACCCTTGTCCTATATTTAACTCCTTTGTGGAGCCTGGAGTAGTACTGTACCTCATTATCTACATGTACCTAACAATGTGGATCAAAATCTTAAAAAAACTATCAAGAGTTTAATTATAACTTAACACAAATTTAGTCTCTACTGCAATTAAATGAAAAGGGCATTAACTGACAGATAATTAAAAAAATAGTCCTGAACCAAAGTCATACTAAATGTTTTTTGTTGTTGATGTCATCATCATCATCATCATCACCATAATAATCATCATCACCATAATCATCATCATCATCATCATGCATTATTCTGCAGCAGCAGCTTTATCACAAAATGGTGCAGTCTTATCCTGAACTACATTTGTATGCAGCATCTGCATGTACCGTATGTACTTGCATATAACAAGTCCAACTGCAAACAACTGAGACCCTAAATCTGCCATTCATTAATACACATGCAGATTTGTTTCCATGTTTGTTTTACTGACTGCTCCTAACAAACTGCGTAGACCCAGATCTTCTGGCACATAATGCACTGGAAGATCTGGATCTGTGAAGTTTGCACTTGTATGTGAATTGTAAGCGAATACACACAGTATTTATTATGCACATAATTAGTCCAAAATTAGACACAAATGGTAATATGGAAATGATTTGCATACCTCACATGACAAACTTGGTGATAAATTCCCCCAAAAGTTATAATGAATGTCTTAAAGTAAATTTTCAATGACAACCTGAGCATGCTGTCATTTATTACAAGCTTTAGGTAGCAGGGCATTCAACATACCTTCCTGTCATCTTTGAAGCAATTAACTGAGTGTTAATTTTTCTAATAGAAGAATTATGAAAGGTCTGACAGACTTTTGTCTCCTATTTTGGACAGTCATGCATTTACAAATTCCTGGCTATGAGCAGACAAAAACCATAATTTGGACACCAATGATGGTTAATTGTCTTTATTGAAAAACCACTCATTACAACTCATGCTCATATCTTGTTGCAACCAATGGTTAAGCAAAATCCCACAAAAGCAAATGAATTCCCTATTAAAACAAAATTTCATAACTTGTATCATCAATCTTACTGTAAATTCTAAAAATTTCCTGCAAAAAAATTATCATACATATTGTAGTTGTTATTAACCACAAATTTAATCTGACAGTAACTTCTAATGGAAAACAATAGGATTGCTTCCACATTTTTGCACTTAAATTCAAGTATTTTGGTTGCTTGATAGCATTTTTAATTGTGTTTCCAACACATTATTGTCTCAATCATGCTGAGGAAATAGAAGTTGTGTGCCCTTGGGAAACACACCTCAAGACTTTCTACTTGACATGACTTGTCTTGGTTGGCTTCTTATGTGTATTCTTGGGAAATGCACTTGGCTCCCATTTACTATAGCCATTAATGCAATGAAATCAATAAATTAAAGTCCCAAAACAAATGTCATTTTTTAAAAATCCCACAAAAACTGACACATATAAAAATAAATGAATATATCTGCTTTCCATGATTGTAACTTGAGTTTTTTTTTTAAAAAAAAAATACAGGAAAACACCCTTAAATGGACACATTTGGAAAAGAAACAACATGGCCACTTTGTAGGGTTATATTTGTATCAAAATAGTCATTTTCAGACCAAAATGTGTCACCAGTTTGTAGCAGACAACAATCTTGCAGTGGGACCTAGTGTTCATTGTATCTTTACTTTAGCATATTTACCTTGCTATTTTATAAAACCAGAGTATAATTTTAGGAATACAAACACAGACAAATTCAACCGTAAACCTATAATGATTTGTGTAACAGTTTTTGCCACTTACTTGTTCCACAACTCTCATTGTTTTTAAAAATAATTTTCAATATGAGATTGTTCTTCACAAGAAAACTATATCCAAACTAAATGAATTTGTTGGGTAAATTCAAATTAATTTATACTATTGGGCAAACTCAAATTAATTCATACTGTTGGGCAAACATTCTTTCATACCAATGGGCAAATTCAAATTCATACTACTTGTGTCTTCTGTGTTTAAAGCACATCAACACAATAAGTGCTGAGGCAACTGGAGAAAAGTGCCTGGCCCAGGTACTTGTGGCAGTCAAACTGGACTGGTAGGTCAGGTTTTGAACTGCATCTTTTTGGTCAAGAGTCCAGTATGCTAACTGTTAAAACCACTGAGGCTGCTGGAATGCAATTCATTAATGGTTTCCCTGGGATACAAGTCTGCTAATGCTTGCTAACTTCTGCTTGGTACTATGTGGCCAGAATTATTGATATGCCATAATTCTTTTACCATTAGTATGAGTCTTCAGAGATGGAACAAATTTAAAGTTATGCTTACATAAGTAAAATAAACCTGTAATAATAATTAAATGTGTAGTCCCTTTGACAAGACTTTCCATCTGATAAATGAAACAATATATCACAAGAGCATAACATGATGCCTATGTGGGTGCAAGATCACTCACCTGGCTGATATCTGCCTAGCAACATAATGCAGAAACATTGACCAAGAAATCTGGGTCAGTTGGATGCTTACTGTTGAAAAGTATTCCAGTGCTGTTAACTGAATATACAATGAAAAATTATTTTAAACATTTCAAGATTTTATTGGATAACACATTTGCTTCATTTGTCCTATTTGAAAGGTCCCATGTTTTGTGTCAAAATTTGTAAAATTCAAATTTTGCATTATTATTTTTTGATATATATAGTAGTGCTAATGTTTAAGTAATGCCAAATATTTTTGATGGTGAAAAAAAAACTCATCTGTACAAATCTGAGAGGTATTCAAGCTTGGACGATTTCTGTCAAATCAAGTCAGACTCCATAATGTGTTTTTTTAGAAAAAGATATTAACATTTTAATTTTTTGGTTTTTGCTTGCAGTGACACCAGTTGGCTCTCTGCAAAACTTATTAAGAAATGTCCAGTTTTTTTTTGTTAAAAGTTTAAAATAGCAATGGTTGATGGATGCATGACAGCACACATTGATATACCATACAAAAAAAATGTTGCCTTATGGTTAGGTGAGACAAAATATATTTTCCTTGCATCTTGTGAACATTTATACATTAATCCATTTATTAATATTTTCTGCATTAGAGCAATAAACTTATAAAGGGAAATATTGATGAACCTCTTAGATGTATTTATATTTAACTTTAAAATAAAGGATAACTATCCATAAAGGACAAAACTGGTTCTCTGAGAGTCTTTTATACA